TACATTTATGTCTTGACAAGCAAGTTAATGGAAAGAAATATTGCTATTAATTATCTTGTATCATTAATTTTTATTTCATTAATATGTAACCTCACCAGTGGGCAGCAGCCACGTTTGGGTCACAACAGGCACAGGAAATATGATGGCTGAAAAAATCTAAAGAAACCTTTTGAACAAAATCATCATCACGATATTTATGTATCAGCTAATTCATCGCTTTTTATCTCCTGTTTTAGTGGATCATAATACATTCACTAACTGTCCCAATTATTGCCATTATAAGAATGGTTTTCAATTTCTTTAGGTATCCACCATATTAATCCCAGGTTTCACTTGGATCCAAAGCAGCCCCCAAAGTCAGTCTTTCCCTTTACCTTTTTGTACTTGGAGTTAGCAGGTCAGCATGCAAGCTCTGCTCCCAAATGCCTGAGCCTTGTGTGTATTTAGTGCCGGTCAGCCAGTGGAATTTAGGCTTTTAAATATTTCACAGGATAAGAGACAAGAAGCACTTTGGCCTCAGCAAACCGAGGTACTCCAGATATGAAGGAAGGAATCTTATTCCATGAAAATAGGGATGAGGGGGCTTTTCACTGGCTGAAAAGTGGAAACCTGACACAAGAGGGGGGCTTACATATATGTAAATATATATATTTATATATACATGAATATATACACACATGCATACTTAGGTGTATGTATTTTATCTGTGTATATGTGCGTGGACAAGTATCTATATATAAAACAATATTGAACCTGAGGAGTGACTGACTGTTTTTCTTTCTCATAGTAGGTTTCCAAAGTGATGTGCTGGGTTTCAGATCCCAGGACCATCGTCTGCCTCCACTGATAGATGGAGTTCATTTACTAAGCTCTCCTTTTTGGCTACGTTTTTTTCAACTTGATGATGCTGAGAAGGAGCCTCTGGATCAGACTGTAAGAGTCCTGCACAGCAATCTGCTCTTGAAATGAAAAATAAAAACCCTTTCCTTCTGCAATATCTTTATTACTGCAATATTTACTGAATTCTTGGCAGTGTTGGTGGGGGAGACAAAGCTGCAACATCTTTTCTCTCTTGCTTTTTAAACAGTCTGCTCCCTATAAGAAGCTGGTATCTTTCTGTTTTCACATCAGCTTGCAGGCTTTTAGGAGGACAGGGTGAACTAATGGAGATTTTTGCATTACCCTATGGGTTGAAGTGCTCCTCCATCTTGGGCATCAGCAGCAGTAGGAGATAAAGCTGATGTTTCTCTGCATGAGCAGAGGAACTGCCTGAAAGGTACAGCCTAGTCCTTAGCTATCCTTGGTGTGAACAGGGAATTCTGTGTGTGTGTGTTTGTATATAACTTACAAATATACCTTAACTGTGGGTCTTTATCAGTCTTTTGAATAAAGTTTAAGCGTATCCTACCCATGGAAGACAACACATGTATATGGGTTCAGATGTATCCTGAGGCAGAGAAGTGCTGCAGTCCTGTGTTACTGTTTACCGTGACTTATTATGACTGAGAGAACTCAGTAGAGAAACTGTTCCTGGTTTTCTCTCTTACTCCCTGACCAAACTCAGGTGAGGGATGGCCTTAAAGAATAGAAGGTCGTAAGCAAGTCTTAGGGTGGAATCCAAAATTTAAAAGAAATAGCAAATTCCTCATCTGCCAGCTATTTTCTCTCACTCCATCTCCAGCACTAGCCAGTGGAAGTATATTTTAGGCATCAGCTCCTAGGCCCACCACCTACCACTGATGTCCACATGGAAGTAAAAAGTACATAGTATGTTTCACTTCTTTTGTTATCACTCATATTCTTACCCTAAGGCCAATACTCTGCTCAAGCACACAATCCTTCATTCAGGAAAAAATGCTTCATTTAAACCATATAAACTTTCTAGCAGACTGCTAACTTAGGCTATTGAAGCTGACCTATTTATTTCATGCTGAATCTTTCATTTGTTACGTAGCAGCTTTGTGCCTTTCTTACATTCATCATCCACACACTCTCTCCATCAGATCCTGTTCATTTCCTGCTCTTTCCTGTTTATTACACATTATTTTACAATGAAGCTTGTAACACACAAAATATCCACTTCACTTCCACATTGAAGATTTTTCTTTTCTCTGTAGCTGTACCTTAGCAATGGCAGAGATCCAGCAGCTACCTTGTACTTATACATAGTCTCCGTACTAAGAAAAATAAAGCAGAGATCTTCTGCCAGACCTGTCAGTTCCTAGTTTATCATTGACCGAAACCTTGCTAAGTAGGAATGAACTAAGAACTGGTCTTTTGGACAACTGGCAACCCCTTTGTACCTCCTAATGAAGCAGAAGCACTGTAATCAATCACACAATTAGATTTCTCGCCACACAGTAATACTTGCTGTGTGTAAGCTGCTAGTAGTAGATGCTAGATCATACTATAGGTGTCCCGTGAGTGTTTTGGTTTTTGCAGCATGGCTTGGCCCACATAACTGCAGAGGTCTGATGACATTTGTTGGAGATGAGTGCATGGGTTAGGGCTGAGGAAAATAAATTTTGAGGAGGAAAAAAATATTATTATAATAATATAATTATACTACAGTGAATTCTGACACCCCAGGTGGTAAAATGAAGCATCAAGTTCCTATTAGTCTGTTTTGTGTGATTTGTACAGGTTTAGAAAAATACAAGAAAAGGTGTAAGGGAAGTGGGGTTGGTCTGTCTGAAAACAAGGAACATTGAAGTGTGTGGGAAGCTGGAGAGATAATATATCTGTTAAAAAGAGAAAAAGGGCTGTTAAAAAGAGATGACAGGAAGGGATTGAGCTGCTCTTTCCATTCCCTTAGGAATGAGGTGGGTTGTAATGGCCTTAAATTGAGGCAAAGGCTATTTAGCTTAGGCTTTGAGAAAAAGCTAGCTATGATCTCAGGCTAAGAAGAGTTAAATACAGGCATCACCACCATGGGAGGCTGGAGGAACAATATGACCTTGTATGGCTGCTTTTTATGATTTCTTGCTAGGCTAACAGGTATAGAAAAATCATTACTGACTGCAGCAGCCCAGTACTCATGCTGTGAGGAAAAAGCCAAAAAATACCACAGCTAACTATAGCAGGCCTCGCCTGCATTTCTGTCACAGCAGTGCTGTCTTAATGGTATTTGCCTATATACAGGTGTCAATGGGTTTTGGTTGAAGGACTTAAGCTTTCACATGAAACTTTTGTTGCTTTTGTGGATGCTGCAAAAAAAAAAGGTGGGTTATATTTTTGTTTGGGTTTTTTTTGTTTGTTTTTGTTTTTTTTTTTTTTAATTCTGCTGCATAGAAAATTACAGCAATTGCTGAGGAAGAGGGAAATTTGATGGCAACCCAGCATGGTGTCTTGTCCCCCTCGTCCAAACCGTACTAACTAGTCATAAACTGCAATTAGTGATATTTTACCAGGCCACCAAATAGATATATGCATTTCCAGTACACTAGTGAAATTATTTAATGGAGTCTTCTGAACAACATCATTAACTCATCACACGAGAGTTCAGACAGAAAGAAGCATAATGAATTAAAAAAAGAAAAAGTCATGGGGTAGGCTAAAGCAGCCACCGAATGTATTAAACAAGAAGAAAATAAAATGATATCCCTCTGCACTCAGAAAACAAGCCACAGTGACATTCCAGACTGTAAGCCATACAAACTTAATTACCAAGGGTTGGATTAAAAACAAAATTGTAGGAGTCAGTACTTTCTTAAAGGACTTCATAAGGTTAATGTTCCTGCTCTATTAGCTATGAAAGTAGAAGGCTGGAAGATTTATATTGGTATTGCTCTTCCTTCTTCATTTTTTCCTGAGAAAAGTAACCTGATGTAGAATTCATTGTAACTTGAAATTTCTGCTAAGTGAAGTGGTATCAGAACAAAGGCACACTAGGAGGGTGATGATGGGTAGGTTGGCTTTGTGTCTGCATACTGCATAGGTGGTTGAGGACTGGGACACCTGTGATAGGTTGGATCAGCCCTGTGAGATGGGCACTTGTGCAATGTTGCCTGCAGAACCCAAGGTAGGTATTGCAGAGATGTCCTGCCAGATAGCATACCTCCATGCAGGACTATAAACACCTGTTAACCCTGCCTTCTGGTTGGCAGTCTCTCCAGAAATTAAGGGGGAAAAATAAGACTCATAGAGAAGTTCCTAACATAATGAGACCCACAGCTCCTTTGCTAATATAAAAGCCTTTGGATGATCGAAACAGAATGTCTATGCACTGAAAGGTTAGAATGAGGATTGCACTGAATTCAAGCATGTGAAGCGCTTGAAAAAAAAAAAATTCTCCTCTGTACTTAGTAGGAGCTGCTATTTTCTAAGTCAGTGTTTACTGACTCGTGGTCGATAGTATCAAAGACTGTGATTTTCAAAGGAGACTAAGAAATTTATGTGCTCAGTTTCCATGGAGAGGGAAAAAGATAACCAGTGAGACCGAAAGCATAAAGCCAAGGCAGAATCACCGAGACAGCTAAGTCCAGTTTATCATGCTAGGGACATGTCTGGAGGCAGCAGTGTGCAAGTGTGATCCCTGTGACAGACAGAGGTGCGGTTGTTCCATGAGGGAATACATGGATGAGGCAGAACACGCTTATTTATGCATGGCAGGCTGGGGAAACAGTATTAGTGTGCATGCACATGTATGTGTGCATGGATACCTGGAAAGTTATAGTTATGACTAGGCATGTTTTCTAACCAGAACTAAAGGACATTTCCACACATGACTTTTAACCCCTTAAGGCATTTGGATAGGTGCTGCAAGCCTGCATTAATCAGTTATATCAGGGACGTAGGTGAAGACCAGATATCCTCTAAAAACAACTTCTAGCCATGGCTGAAATCAATCCAGGTTGTGGGCACTTCATCTTTTATTAGTATCCAGTCAGATCTGCTGGCTTAGAGTTAACATGTAAATGCCAGAAAATCAGTTTTCCCATAATCAGCACTTTTTAATGTCCACTCAGCAAGAAGACAAAATAAAAACACAAGAGGAGGCATTTGTCTTCCACACAAAATCATACAAAAAGTCTCTTTTTATTAAATATACATTACTTACAGTTTAAGTCTTTCTTCTGTACAACAGTAACCATAGAAAACAAAAGAAGCTAAGGCTAAATTTTTTTCAATCCCCGAACAGTGAAGACATGTTACATTGTCTACAAAACTGACTAGGACTGAGGCAGCGTCCTGTGGAATTCTTTTCAGAAAACCAGAGTGAAAGGGGAATAATCTAAATCTCCATTTAGCTTTTTACTGTAACTGAGAGACCCTTGCGGTATCCTCAAACAGACCAGTAAAAGAAAAAAAAAAAAGTTTTTTTTTTTTTTTTTTTTTGCTTTGCTACTGAAATGAGCAGTGTTCTGAGAGATTTATTTAATATCATTTGAGTAGAATAAAGTAAAATGAATGATGAAGGGCTCATCTGTAGACAGAGCCATTTTTTTTTTATTATTATTACAAGTATTTAATCTCAGCTTTCACAGCCTGGGAAGCTTTTCTTTTTGCTTTTTCTTCTTTTTTTTTTTTTTTGCTTTTAGGGCACCTTCATTTTTCAAATAGTATGTAGTTTACCACAGTCCATCCAGGGTTGGACTCCATTAAAATCCCATAAAATCCTTCCAAAATCAGTGGGTAGGCTCACATGTTGGTTGGCAACACACCTCCACAGGCTATCCTTCCCCCTGCACACATTTCCAGAAACTCCTGAAGGTGACTTAAGTCATGTCATGGATCAAGTGAAGATGAGGTTCCTTGCTTTATATAATCACAATTATAGAATCAACTAGGTTGGAAAAGACCTTTAAAATCATCAAGTCCAACCATTACCCCCACACTACCAAGTCCACCACCAAACCATGTCACCAAAGGCCTCATCTACACAGTTTTTGAGCACTTTTAAGGATGGTGATCCCACCACTTCCCTGGGCAGCCTGTTCCAATACCTGATCACCATCTCTGTGAAGAAATGTTTCCTAATATCCAATCTAAACATCCCCTGGCACAGCTTGAGGCTGTTAGCTCTCGTCCTTTTGATTATTACTTGGGAGAAAAGACCGACCCCCACCTCACTACATCCTCCTTTCAGGTAGTTGTACACAACAGTAAGTTCCCCCCTGAGCCTTCTCTTCTTCAGACTAAACAACCCCAGTTCTCCCAGTGGTTCCTCATAATACTTATTCTCAAGTTTTACCAACAGTTCTGCTAGAAGACACACACAATTGCAGTGATTGCAACTCCTGTTGACAGCAGTAGGGGATGATGATTATAAGGTCCTGCCTTGAATTCGTACATGTCAGCCCCAGTTTGCAGGAGATCATCACTGCCCTTGCCTAGGGCAATCCAAGGCTAAATTCATCTATGATGTATTTACATTGACCTCAACAGGATTACAGTCAGGGCTGAAGCTGTCTCTGTTTCTTTCACAAAGTGAGTTTCAAAGCAGATCTGGTAGTATAGCGTTTAGCTTCTCGATACAACAGTCTATGTAAAATATTTAATTTGCAAAATTTACACAGCAAATATTTTTATGGCTGGATGCCTGAAAAATTGTGTACCTGCTTGCTCTCCTAACCTTATCTGAAATTTCATAGAGCGGGCTTGGGTATCAGAATACTCCTCTGTGTCATGAATGAAATGTGAGGCTGTGACTGCCTGTATCTAAGCTTTACCTCAGAAGCAATCAGTTTTCTTTCTTAATGATAGATACATCTGTTCAGCATTGGCAGCAATGACAAAACACATCAGAAAATGGTCTGCCTAAATGATGCAAGAAAGAACTACAAGGGCATGCAAAAGTGAGTAATTTCCCATGCAGAAACCCTATCAGACAGACTCTTGAGGGTTGTGGGATTGAAATCCATGAGGAGAGTAATGACCAGCATATCAAGAAGCAAATGGTATAATGTCAACAGCAGTCAGTAGTTTCGAAAAAAGCTGCCACAAGCATACTAAGTGAGGGAGGGATGGGAAGAGGAGAGTCTCTAAGCAAACACCATTCTTTGGATCACTTGTTGTACCCAACATTTCAATAAATGATACGATTGTTTGAGGGAAATCACCCCCAGTTCTTTTTTGGGTATCAGGGAGATTCTAACTGGAGAGATTCAGATTAGCATCAGGCAGAGATTTGAAATGCTCTCCCATGTTTGAAGCACATCTCTTATACTTTACAGGCCATCAGGACAATTAAGGCTATGTTTTGGCAGGCTAACCAGTAACTCAGTGGCAAAAATGAGTTGTGGAAAAAGTCTTAAAACCCTCATACCCACCTGGTGGTTACCACGCCTGGTTTCCAACAGCATAAACTTTCTGAGAGCTTTTGCCTCTTTCATTGCGTCCTCACAATTGCAATTTGCAGAGTTCATGTTCCCATTTCCCCTTACAGGTCACCACATCTCCATGGTGGAGTGCAGTCGCCCTACTAGTAGAATACCTGGGTGTCCCTTTGACAATTATGCAATTTCTTTGAATTCCTGGTTTCTGCGACTGAATAATGGTAATTAGAATTGTAACATGAGATCCTCTGCTTCCTACCACCAATTTGATAGCAGCACATGTCAAAAATAGAGAAGAAAACAGAGATGAGCTACATATGGAGTGACACTGTCAACACAAACTGTCACCTTAATCCTTCCTTAACTCAGCTTGTAGACTCAGTAAACTACAAACAACAAACAACGAGCTTACAAATTACAAAAGTTCACCAGAATTGTACTTTTTTTTTTTCAGTTTTTATATTTGACAGAGTAAATTAGTGCAAAAGATCACAAAAATTAAGTACCATTACATAGAAATATCCAAATACCCTATATGCATGACTTAAAATAAACAGACTTACTTCAGACCCAAAAGAAGAGTGTTTTTAGAAGTTTCATGTACAAAAGGAGCATGGAATATGGGGATGCCTACACCAAAAGGGGACATGGAGAACTTTTCACTGGGAAAGGAAGTGCAGTAAAGTGCAGAACCAAAAGGAACAAATCATGCTTTGAAGCTTTGATGGTAACTTGTGAAGAGAACCCCCCAAGCCCCCAAGGGCATGGTGCAGCCCTAACTGTACCAAGTTAGGTCTGCACCTCAACCAAGAGGCCTCCCATCAATCTCAAAACATTGGATAAGACCCTTGGTTTGGCAGGGATGTAACTGTAGGCATTACAAAACTTCATTAAAACTTTGAAATAGCACTTGCGTTAGTCTTGCAAGCCTTTTTTGCAAACCTTTTACAAAGTGTTGCTTTCTGAACAATAATAATAATTAAAAAAAAATAAAGCAAAAAACCCAAATCCCTGTGTGTCTGTGAAAAGCTGACAGCGCAGAAAAATAACTGAAACTGGTCTTCTTTAGTGTAAGCTTTGTGTAGGTGACAGCAACAAACAATAATGGCATGAGGTGGTGGACCACAAAGGGGTCAAAATCTGCCTCCTGTTACACTCTTGTTAAGATGAGGTGAAACACACACTTCAACTGATTGGCTTACACTAATAGAAAAGGAAGGTTATTTTGTTCTGAAGATGGGATTTTTTCAGTGATTCATCTCAGAGAAAACTTTGGGGTTCTGAATGAGCAATTACTGTAATTTGAAAAGCCAACAGGTATCAGACAAGCAAGGCTTAGGGCCAGCAGATGCAAGACACAGCAGACTGGAGACTTGCAACTTTACTGGAGCTGCAGAGATATTCTATATCTTCTCAAATGGTGCAAGACACACAGGGCTAGAAAGGCATTTCAGGGAGCTGAGTTAGCTTTAGATTATGGAATCTGTGTAATTTGTCTACATATATACTATCTGCCACTGCTCCCACTTGAGGCAATGAATAGATTTCAGATCTTGGATCTGGAATAGACTGGAAAGAGAGCTATCCTCTCCCATGCCCCACAGGTTACTGATAGGATGGCCACAAACTCAAATGGGTGCTTTATTTTCATGTAATTGGCTATAAATAGAAGCATATATTTCCTAAGAAGAGATGTCTACTGTAATTTTAGATGCAAGGTGGTGTCCATCCTTTATCCCAGCTGGCATCTCCATAAAAACGAAGTCTCTTTTAAGACCTGTGCAGATGTGTCTACTGGAACTGCAAGACTAGTGTAAAATTCCTTTATGCAGGCAAATTCTGCTAGAAGCAGCTAACCTGTTGCCAGGAGCCTACCCTGTCTCTATAATCAATGGAGAGAAAAACACACCTGTAGAGAGTGATTAATTTTATCTTAAAGGATATCTGAGGTATTTTCCCTGTCCTCACTGACCACAGGACAGGATTGGATGGCAAGTGTAAGACAGGTAGCTTGTAAAACCAAATTCAAAATGAAACAAACCCAAAGGACTCAGATAAAAACAATTTTCAGTTGCTTTTATAGGTCTAGGATTCAATCTTGTGTTCAGCAAAATCGATAGCTGACCTCATTTAGAAGATTCATATCCCCTCACCATTGTGAAACTATATGATGTATTGACTGCTCCTCCCTAATGTGCTAAATATGTGATCAGCTATATTCTAATATAGACAAGCATCTAATTAAAATAAGGATTTGACTTATGCTGTAAAAACTGAGCAGCTGCTAAATAGGATGGGTTAAGTCTGGCTACATCAGGTTAAAATAAAGCAGAGAGAAGTCATCTCATGTTTGCCTTTTGGCTATTGGTTTTAACTTAAATGTCAGGGGAGTCTCATGACTGAGCACAATTGGGTAACATTTGTTATCAGCCTAAATGGCTTGTTTTCACAGGTACCTTCATCCACATGAGAATCCTGATTTAGCCATTATGAGTAAAAACCCTGTCAGTTGTTTGTCTTTGTTTTCACTGCAGATATGCCCTAAGTGTTGTGCCACTGTAAGAACAAGAAAAATAAAAGGAAGTGTATGTGCTAAAAATTTACTCAAAATACTGTCTTGTCTCTAGTGAATAAATAAGTACAGATGAAATACTTACTGCAAATTACACAGGTGACTTACTTAGGACCAATATTTTATTTCCAAAAGGGAAATGGGACTCAGTTTCCAAAGGTATTTAAATGCCTCGTAGTATTTTAAAACATTTCACAGCAAGACAGAAGCAGAAACCCAACCGAAATTAGAGTCAAGTGTTCATCTTGTTAGTCACTTAAGGATTGGTCTACATCCTCAGGAGTATAAATTCCTTGAAAGTCCAGACTTCACTCAGGTGCAGCATATGCCTCAGTGAAAGTTAGTGGAATTTAGCTTTCTGGCAGAAAGCCTTCATGTTTTCTATAGCCAGACACCAGGATTCTCAGACAGTCCTTCTAGGTATCCAACTCAGACTCTGCATGAGGTGGTGGACCACAAAGGGGTCAAATTCTGCCTCCTGTTACACTCTTGTTAAGATGAGATGAAAAAGCATGGCGGTTACTGGCCAAGTATCTTCTGGTAAACAAGAATTTCCAGTGCCTAACTCCATATTTAAGTGACTTAAAAATTTCATAGCCTGAAAATCCCTGCCTACCAGTAATAATTTTCAGACGTTATCATAATACCAGGAGAAAAAATGAAACTTGGCTTCTACCAGCTGCTTACTCTTGTTATGACACTTGTCTGGGGAGAGGAAAACCCAAACAACCTAATAATACTTAAAAAAATTATTTTATATTCTCAGGTTTTCCATTAAAATAAATCCTAACATTTTATATGTAAAAAAATATTATACCCTGTGTTTACTGAAAAATGTTATCTAGAATGATAGCTAGGAAAAAAAAAAAAAAGACCCT